CTGCATCTTACTCGCTCCCAAAGGTGTTATTAGCATGTGCTGCTCGGGAGGATGGCTCCTGGGTGCTCCTTTAACCATGGAGAGATCACGTGTGTTAGAAAAGGGAAGGAAGGGGGCGCCTGGGCGGCTCAGTCGTTCGGCGTCTGCCTTCGGCTCAGGTCATGATCCCGGGGTCCTGGGATCGAGCCCCTCATCGGGCTCCCTGCTCAGCGGGGTTCCTGCTTCTCTCTCTCCCATTCCCCCTGCTTGTGTTCCTCTCTCGCTGTGTCTGTCTCTGTCAAATAAATAAAATCTTTAAAAAAAAAAAAAAGGGAAGGAAGATGTGCTTAATATTAAGTTATTAATGTCTTTGGGCTCTTTAAACATAGAACTATTACCTCCTGAGATTTAAATCTGGACTTCTAAAATACAAGAATAAATATATGTATCTTACTGTTGTGAGTATCTGCTGGCATGTCCGCCCTGGCTCTGGCTGAGACTCTGGTCGAGTGGGACAGTGGTGTGAAAGGCCGAGATAAGGCGTCCTGGACTAGGCAGAGGGACCTGTGTGTTAGAAAAGGGAAGGAAGGGGGCGCCTGGGCGGCTCAGTCGTTCATGATCCCGGGGTCCTGGGATCGAGCCCCTCATCGGGCTCCCTGCTCAGCGGGGTTCCTGCTTCTCTCTCTCCCATTCCCCCTGCTTGTGTTCCTCTCTCGCTGTGTCTGTCTCTGTCAAATAAATAAAATCTTTAAAAAAAAAGAAAAGGGAAGGAAGATGTGCTTAATATTAAGTTATTAATGTCTTTGGGCTCTTTAAACATAGAGCTATTACCTCCTGAGATTTAAATCTGGACTTCTAAAATACAAGAATAAATAAGAAGAAAGTTGTAGCATGACTTCTAAGTTTCTGCTTGGATGACAATTGACTGGTACGGGAAGTACCAGAGAAAGATGAGGTCAGTTTGGACATGTTCTCTTTGAAATACTTGTGATAACTCAAAAAAGTGAGCCCCTAAAGCAGGTATTTATTTATACAGGGAGCAAGATTAGAATTACTAAGTTTCTTCCTTGCCATCTTAAGGCTTATTATGCTGTACTGATTTGCGCTCCCTAGAACAATCTTTAATCATGATATTTTCCCCACATAAAAAATTTTTTTTTTAAACTTAAGTCTATTCTAGTCATATAGGGGATTGCTCCTTTCCTTCCATTTATTGTCATGATTTTATAATATTTTTCATTTTTCCCTCATTTCCTTGAATGTTACACTGTTTTTTATAAATAGGGAATATCAGTGCACACTAGCTAGTCACGACTTTTGAAATATTTTATGTAGAGGAAAATGTTTAAAAACCATACATTTTCTTTCTAAAATTGTTCATAGCCTCTGTTATTGAGGAGCTGGGGGGCGAGGGAACAGCCTGAGATGGGGTAGAATGTAATTTAGGTTGTCTGTTAAGTTTTGTTGTGTTTGTTTTAACGTTTATTATTTCCCATTCATCCCATTTTACTGAGCAGGAAACTGAAGCCAGAGGTTAACCTTCCCAAGGTCACACAGTTGAGTCCTGAGTGGCCCTTTATTATTAGGGCCATCAGACTCTTGAGAAGTGATTGGGATCTAAATGTTGAAGTGGTTGGATTATGTTCAGGAAAATTTCTCTTGGTAGGGAGAGAGAATATTCTCAGGCTGATTTAAAAAACAAACAAAAAAATGCCTTCCAGAAATCTCTGAGACATGACGGACTTCCCACTAGAATTTGAGTTATTTCAAGAGTATGCTGGTATGGGACAATGAAAAGTAATGGGACAGTTTGTTCGTTTAGCCCAATACACTTTGGAAGGGCAACATAAAAAGAGCTAATTTGGAATTTGCTCAAGCAAATGAGGTGTAGATAGTTGTTGGCATTTCTAAAGACGAAGACAGACAAATAGCAATTAAGATGTTTTAGTTACCTTTCTGGACGTACATCCTTTGAATAGGGTTGGCTTTATAACCAGACAGGGTGATTTGTGGAAGCACCAGGGAAACCTTTCATAGCTTTGTTTCTATGAGCCGTGAATGTTTTAATGCTTTGCTGTTTAAAATATAACTACCTTTGTGAGGTGATGAGTTTTATTGTTTTGATAGCTAGCAGAGGGATAGGACAGCAGGGTCCTGATAGAAATGATAGGACAGACTCAGGACCTAGCCCTGCTTCAGATATTACCGTCCTTGCTTTAGGGGGAAAAACCTCTTTTTTCATAATAATGGGTCAATGAAGTAATAGCACTGATCAGGCAGCTGATCTGAGGGTGAAGGTGAATAACATATATCCAACCACTTTGGAAATTATGAGAATTCTTCCAATGCTGTGTGTTGCTGTTATTGAACAAGGAGAGGCAAAACCTGTAAGTCGAGGTGGTTTGACAGCTGGGTCAGAGATGTTTGCATATTTAGAAATGCAACAGGGATTGCTCTAAGGTATTTAGAGGATATTTTCTATTTTTGCGTGCACACACACACACACACAAACAGCTACAAATAAATTGTTCAAAGCAAAGAATAGAGAAGTTCTCTGTTGGCTAAAGTGGTTGACTTGGACACAGTTTGGCCAGAGAAGCATTAGCCCTGTGTGTTTCAATCATAACCATGATGTCTTAACTATGCCATTTAGATGTAAATATAGAATAATTGAATTTCAGAGCTTTCAAACTAGGGGAGGGACCTCAGAAATCATCTAGTCCAGTGGTTTTCAAACTTGATTTTAGCAGCAGACTTTGTCCTTTAAAATGAAACCTTAGGTGGAACCCCAAACACTTGTAAAACAGAGAAGAATAAGTGGGTTCCTCTGGCCCTTGAAGTCTTGATTGTTTGGGGGGAAAATTCTTCATTGCCTGCAGAATCCCGTAAAAGCACCTCAGGTGGCACAGTTTGAAAGCCACTGATCTAGTCCAACCCTTTCATTTTACAGATGAGCAAACTGAGGTCCAGAGAGGTTAAGTGGCTTGCCCAAGGTCATACAGCTAGTCGTGGAAGAGCCAGGACTAGATCTCAGGTCTCTTGATTCCCAGTCCAGTGCTCTTTCCACTACACCACCCTGCCGGTAAGGTAGGTGCTGTGTTAGCATTGTGTTCATAGCTACTAATAGTCTTCAGTATTTGCCAACTGATTTATGCTGGTGATGTGCATTGAATGTTGAAGTGTTTTATGGAGAAATGTATAAGATATAAAAATATAGATTAGAATGGCAAATTTGCTCTTAGAAGATAAATTGATAGCTAGATTGTTCCGTTTCACTTTTAAAAATTATTTTAAAGCAGTGCATTCAGGTAGTATCTGAGATATATTGGGCATTTTCATCTGATATCAATGATCAAGATGGATGGAGTCCATATGTATCAGATACCTACTTTGATGGGAGCAGCATTGACTTCTGGCTGCTACTCTCTTGGGGACTGTGCCCTGCTGTCATTTCCAGTGTTGACCAGGCTCCTATTGCTAGAATAGTGCATCTTTCTTCAGCATGTAGTGGGCATATATTCATTTCACATTAAACTCTGCAGTTCTTTGTGTGCTTGGGCCTTTTGCCTCTAACTCCTCTTTCCTTCTCAGTCTGGTGTGTGTAAATTGTCACTGGGGCTCTACCCTAAAGGGACGTACAGGATGGTTCATGGCAGGATCTTATTGCTCTGATCTCCGTATCTCTTTTGTTGAGTTAGTTTCCATGCAGATGAGTCTGGTGTTATCAGACAGAGAGTATCCTAGACTCTATCTAGGAAACTAGGAAAAGTGTCTTAAAAGGCCTCTATGCTATTGTTACCAACCTAAAATCCAAAAGGCATGTAGAAATCTACAACTACTTTGATTTGGTAGAATTCTCATGGAGAAATTTCCTGGGGAAAGTAGATATTATCACTGGTCTAAGGATAGAGTGCTGGTCTTGTGAGGAGAGCTGAATACAAAGGAAACAGTGTAGGAGCTGTGATTTCAGTCCAAGTTGGGATGTGACTCGTTCCTATTATACTGAATATATTGAGTTAGTCTCTAAGAACAGAGATATATCCAGGCCCCAGATATTTTTTTAGCCCTATTTCTGTGTGAGAATCTAGGAGCAGTGATTAGTTATCAGGGCCTCATTTGTAGACCGTATTCCTTCTGAAAGCCAAGTTCAAAGCTCTGTATATCACATCATGAAGTGCAGTCAGGGTGTGCCCATCCTGCCCAGAGACCTGATGACAGGTCACACCAGCTCTCTGGGCAAGGGGCTCACTTCTAGGTAGCTCTTTCTGACTGCCGGGGAGGACCGTATCCACGTCCCAGACGTTGCATTGCTTTATTGTATTAGTTCAGTGTGATCAGACCTTGCCAGTAGAACTATCGGTGATGATGGAAATGTACCATTATCTGTGCAGTCCAATACCATAGCCATAGGCAGTGATGGTGAGTACCTAAGATGTGGCTACTGCTCATGAAGAACCAAGTTTAAACTTAATTTACGTTAGCTTCCATTTCAACTTAAACAGCCGCATGTAGCTATTCTATGGGACAACACAGCTAGCTCTTAGATGTTTTCTGACATGAAATTCAGATGCCGGGTTGGATAAATGGAATGGGAATCCCTTCAGATTTCATCAGGAGAGGGATGCCATACCAACTTTGATGGATCTTCACCAAAGACAGTTGAGTTTTAGGATAATTTGTTTGAAATCAAGTACTCGTCTTTTTTGAATAAATGCGCTAGCTAGAGGGGGAGATTAAATTTCCTCTTACTTGTGACCTCACCACACATGCGAGCTACAACCGGAAAGATATCTGCCAGTTTGGTGAGGAGTGAACCCATTTTCTCATGTGTGTGGTCTTGCGATGACTTAGGCCTCAGCACAGGTTTCAGTGAATTCCCAGAGGTCTTCTGGGAAGCCGAGTTTAGAAAGTTCCTGGCCAGTAAATAAATATTCTGTTTATATTGTAAGTTCAGATGTGAGTATCTGAACTATGCTGGCTTCTGAATAACATGATGAAATTTTTTCTTCTTCCCCCTTTAGAACCAAAGAAAATGGCTTTGACAGAGAGCCTTTGCACTCAGAACATCCAAGCAAGCGACCATGCACTATTAGCCCAGGCCAACGGTACAGTCCAAATAACGGCTTATCCTACCAGCCCAATGGCCTGCCTCACCCCACCCCACCTCCACCTCAGCATTACCGTTTGGATGATATGGCCATTGCCCACCACTACAGGGACTCCTATCGACACCCCAGCCACAGGGACCTCAGGGACAGAAACAGACCTATGGGTAAGACTGAAGGATCTGTTCACTTCTTAAATGGTATTGGATGCTTGAAGACTCACATCATTACTTCTCAGCTGAACTTGAGGCTTGAAATCTGTGATAGGGGTAAAAATTCTCTCTCTTTATATTGTCTCCTTTATGAGAACAGTTGGTTAATAAGAGTATGTTCTTTAACAGCTGTGCTTTCTCTCTCTTAATTACTTACGGTCTTTATGATAGCAGACTAATTTTTTTTTTTTTTTTGGAAAGGGGCATCTAAATTAATATAAAAGTCTCAACAAATACAAAGTGAATTTTTAGTTTTCTTTTTTTAACATTAGAGATTTCATATTCAGCCTGTCTGCCACAAGTATTTTTTAAAATGTTAACATGTTTCTTTTCTTTCATTGTACTTTTATTTCAGATAGTCTTAGAGTTCAATTTGATTTTTCCAGTCTTCGCAGTACTCTGTATTTGAGAAATATGAGATTGACTGATGTCTCTGACTTAAATCAACAGATGTTCTTTGAGGAATGGTTTGGTACTTTTCTCACCTGCAAGTGACAGTGATTAAATTTAGTATTGACAGTTTTGTGTCATAGATCAAAGTACCAAAGAAAGAATGAGTTTAGGTAAATATGTGATCTGTTTCCTTGTGTTCATTCCTTCTTTACATAAAACTATTGAAGGGAAGAATTTAGGAGACATTGCCTTCTAAAGAACAAATATCTGCCATGCAAAATAAGAGGGAAAGTGAACAAGGTAAGATTTGATACCGCGAGATCAGGGGTTGAGGGAACAGCATCAGAGCACTGTTCCCGGGCTCTTTTTTAATTCTTCATTTTGGCAAATAGAGCTTTTGGTAAACTGAGAGCAGTCGTTACTCCTTTCTTCTTTTTCCATCTCCTGTGTCCACCACTTACCAGTAGGACTTCTTTAGTCAGCTAATTGCTGCCGAGCTTTCCTGACTCGTAGAGTTGGTGGGCAGGGTAGCAGAAATATCAGGGGATGAAGTCTAAGTGGAAAACTAGAACACAGGGCCGAGGACGCAGAACTCTGGGAACAGTGGTCAGCCAGTTATCCACTGCTTGAATAGCAGGCACAGTGTTTTTAGCCAGAGACAGAGATAATGTGATGAGCAGAAGTTTATGTAAGCTTTCTCACTAGGTTGCTAGCAAACAGGGCTGCCATATTTGGGTCTTTTTGCCTTTTCTACATTTAACCCACCAAATTTTGTTCAGAAAATAGAAAAGGAGGCTCAGGGTGAGGGGAGGGGCGATGATTGAGGCCCTGGTTGTGAGACAGTCAAAAAGTAGTTCTGCTTCCCCACAACAGTCACTGCTACATTTCTATAGTGTGTCAGACAGATGGCTAAGCCTATCATTTGTGCTTTCTTAATAGCCAGTCTGTCTCATGTTCTCTCAGGTACTATTTCTGAAGAGCTCTCGAAAGTGGTTATGTCATTTTTCAACCTGGATCAATATTTTGATGCCCCCCATCAGATGTGGTAACAACCTCATTCTAAGTAAAGGTCTTGCCATTTATTTATGACTTTAGGCCCCCAAACCATGATTGCTCATTTTCAAATAGAAGTGGACTCACCAGGTCATTGTAAGACCAATTCAAGATATCCTGCTTTTGTAGGTGCTAGGAAACGGCCTCTTTGTTAGGCAGCAAATGCTATTTTATAAAATATCAGTGCCAGTGCACTATAAAGTAATCAGCAAGGAAGTAATTAGGCTTATGTGCAATGATTATGTTTTCATCTGGTAATGTAAACTATCCCTTCATGAATCATATCTATACCTACTGGTTTTATGTGATTTTTCTTCAGACCACGTTCCTTACCTTTTAATTATATTAGCTCATAAAACCAATAGTGCTAATCTCTATAAATATGTGCAACTACTTAACCATCCCTAAAGTCTGGCACAGTTTAGTGTGTGTTAATGTAAAATAAAATCTTGATGTATGAGTAACAAATGGTGGTGTTACATCAGGCTGCCATTTTGAGAATATAAAAATTGTCATAAAGGTATACTTCGTCTAGAGTGACTTATAAATGCCTATTATGTAGAGACATACACTCACTAGAATCTTTTAATAAAATACCTTTACAAACAGCATTAGTTTATAAGTAAACTTAAGAGTTTTAGTCTAGTTAGCTAAAATCTTCTAAACTATAAGAACTAGTTAGGATTCAACATTACTGTCAGATTGCCCACAAATGGAAATATGCTCTTTAATGATTATGAGCTATTTTCCCCTAGTATATCCCTTTGGTATTATGAATATAAATGAAAATTGTGTGGTGATGCATATTTAAGTATCTGAAATAGAGAAATTAATAAATGCAAAATTTTGAGTTGACTTAGATTTTCCTTTTTAAAGATTTGATTCTATCTAACAAATGACCTTCAGAGTTCAGAAGCAGCAAATGATATATTTTCTTACCAAGTACTTGGGCTCAAACATGTTTCTAATGTACTTTTCTTTTTTTTTAATGAGATGAAGCTTAGCAGTATTCCACAAATGTTGGAATCTCATTAGCCACAGACATCCTGTGGCTCATCAATATTACTCCAGGTGTTAGAGCTTGTATCATCATTGACATAGGTCTGCTGAATTTTTGAAACTTTTTTTTAAGATTTTATTATTCATTTAGAGAGAGGACAGGAGCGGGGTGGGAGGAGGGTCAGAAGGAGAGAGAGAATCTCAAGCAGACTCCCTGCTGAGCGTGGAGCCTGACCCAGGTCTGGATCTCACAACCGTGAGATCGTGACCTGAGCCAAAATTAAGAGTCAGATGCTCAACTGACTTAGCCACCCAGGCGCTCCTGAAATTTTTGAGACCTCTGGAGTTCTTGGTCCTTAAAAGCAAATAGTAAGATGCCTCCTTTGTGAAAGTCGATGCCATATTTATATCTTCATCACTCTCTGGTTGTTTTCTGTGATGACTCATTTCAGCGGTAGTGTTTTTATTTCCTAAAACACAAGCAACAAATAAGTCAACAAAAATTACATATTTGCAAACATTTCAACTTGAAATAGTCACAACTGAGTAATAACTAAATATTCTTTTCCCCCAATGTCTTTTCTATTATGCAAATTAACACATATTTGCAATTTTACGTTTTTACCAATAGGTGGCATTGACAATTTTAACTTTAAAAATGTATCTCCGAACATGTTCTAATTAGATAAGAATGATGTGAAGTGTTTTATATTTAGCTTTTTATTTAATCTGAGAAAGTTCCGTCGTGTTCGTGCACCTCCATCAGCTATAAATTAAGTTGCATTTCATGGTTGGCTAAAAAGAGTCATGTGACTCATCATCTTTATTTCTCTATATCAGGTAAAAGAGGGGACTTCCAACCACTCTGACTTCAGGAAAGTGAAATGCGGTATCTCCTAAGTCTCATTGTCCTCTAACTCCCCCATGATGCCCTTTTGAGAAGGAGCCTACCTAGGTGTCTAGAAGCCCAAACCATGCCAGACTTAATTTGCTATTCAGAGTAATGGTGTGAGAAGTACTAACCAAAAAGGGGTTTTAATCATTTAAAATGGAAAATATTGCCATAGTCCAATGCCTTTCTTTTCTAGTAGAAACTAAGGTGTTTCCTCCATAATGAATTTGTAAGATGAGCAACACGTTTCACGGTATCTCTGCTCATAGCCTTCCACCCTATCCTCTCAGTGAGACACATTTGTTTCTGTTTTGATGAGCATCCTACCTAATTGCTCATGGCCATTGCTGTTGTTGCTCACTTGGTAAGCTTTTCCATGTCACCTTTTTGTGTTGTACCTTAACTGTGATGCTAACGAGCATTAATACTTAAGGTTATAGATTTCAAATTGGGATTTTTGGTTTCTTGGCTTGGATTTAAGATATTTGTCCAAAGTTGGGGCACCTGGGTTGCTCAGTTAAGCAACCAACTCTTGATTTCGGCTCAGGTCATGATCTCACGGTTGTGAGATCCAGACCTGGGTCAGGCTCCACGCTCAGTAGGGAGTCTGCTTGAGATTCTCTCCCTCCCTCTCCGTCTGCCCCCCCCCCACTTGCACACATGAGCCCTCTCTCTCTCTCTCAAAATAAATAAAATCTTTAAAAAAAAGATATTTGTCCAGAATTATACCTGGTATGTTGCATTTTTTTTCCTAAATGACGTCCAGTGTATTTCTTTAAAAAGATTTTTTTTTGGTAAATCAAATGAGTGTATATTGCTTTCATATTTTGCAAGCCCTCTCTTCATGGCCTAATTTCATCATGGAGGTGTATGCAATAGGGTTGTTTCATTTGCCTCTCTGTGGCTAATGAAATGTGGAAAAATTGTACCGTGCTCGTTTTAGAGAAGCATATCCCTGCCCATGTAAAGTGATTTATGCTGCCTTTATTTTTAATGGTAGAGAGCCACGCTTTGAAACCACTTAATGTCTCCTTGTGGCTTCTCATATTTATTAAGGGTTAGTATATATTTGTATTTTCAATTTGGGGACGTTATATGGATGACTGACTCAGTGTTTGGTGTCACTTTACTCCCCTTTCTTCCTACATAAAAGAAAGGGTTCTGACCCTATGACCTCTAACATTCCTCCTAGTTTTTAACATTCTGTCATTCTAGGAAGAGCCCATTAGGCAGTTGTGAACGTGAGTCTGACTTACGTCTCCATTCAAAATCGAATATATCTTCACATCCTTTGGTTTAGTCTTTGCTGAGTGCCTGTGTGTGTATGGATGGTGTCCTGATTGCTGTAGGGTGATCAGCCTTCTTCTCTGCATTCATAGGGTTGCATGGCACACGCCAAGAAGAAATGATTGATCACAGACTAACAGACAGAGAATGGGCAGAGGAGTGGAAACATCTTGATCATGTAAGATGTCGGTAATCACTTAGGTTAAAATAGGTTTCAGAAATAGCCCGAGTGGGGTTATATGATAAAAGAAATGCTGGGGATGCTTTGAGGTTATTATGTTCTGTGCTATCCTTGAAGAAAGGAATGAATGGGAAGATGTGCGATAAAATACAGGATTTGATTTCTACGTTGATATCAAAGGCACTAACGTAAGAGAAATGTGAGGTCGTGGAAAGGAACCCTCAGAGCCAGATCCGTGGGTTCCTGTTTTACTGCAAACGGGTCACTGGGTTTATACAGTAATGGGATTAGTACTGGGAACTTGGCTATGTGCCTCCAGCCGAACTCTCTGTCGTGAGTCGTGTTCACGCCTCCCACGTTTTGCTCTCATTCCCATTGAGTTTACTCCTCTGTCGGGTCTCCATTTCAAATCCGACCTTTGAAAATACTCGGCTGAAGGAAGCCTTCGGGAACACAGTGGCATCCTTCATCGTCCCGCGGTAATCGGTTCGCTGTCCGCCGGAGTGGTTCGGTGGTGGTGATGGCTGTGTTCTTCCCCCGTGCCCGTCCCTCCCACAGCTGTTGAACTGCATCATGGACATGGTGGAGAAGACGCGGCGGTCCCTCACTGTACTGCGGCGGTGTCAGGAGGCCGACCGCGAGGAGCTGAATTACTGGATCCGGCGCTACAGCGACGCTGAGGACTTGAAGAAAGGCGGCGGCGGCGGCGGCGGCCACTCCCGGCAGCAGAGCCCCGTCAACCCGGACCCGGTCGCGCTAGGTACCTTTCCTTTGGGTGGACGCGCCACACGGATAGTTCTCACACTCATAGTGCCGATCTCACGTTCAGTGGGGTCTTTGCAGAAATAAAGGGTATGTGGGGCCTTTTAGAGCAGTAAACACTTGACATCCCCAGTAGTCCCTGTGTCTCCGAGAGGAAGCCGGGGGACTGGCTGACTCGGAGGCGGGTGCAAAACTTAAGCGCCTCTTTCCAGGGTCATGCTGGGCTCGGGGCAGAGCTTCAAGGCCGGGCCAGGGTTTCACCCGCGTCAGGGAGACGTGTGCCCCTGCACAGCCCAGCTCTCTGCACCCTGCCCCCCAGCGTGCCAGAACAAAATCTCAGGGCGCCGCGAGCCTCTGAGGCTGCAGCAAGCTCTCCAGGGAGTTCTGCTCCTGCACACCGTGTTGGATGCGTGTTGTCTGATTTTTAATTGAAGACACGGTCTCTAAGACAGCCTTGTTTTCCAGCTGTATCTTTTATTTTCATAAAACACTTAACCAGGAAGAGAGACCTTAATGGGTTATATAGTCTGCCTGCTAGCACTTGCAAATTAGTGATGAAGGGAGCACTGTCTTCTGGTGACTTGACCTTAACCTAGATGGCGTAAAGCCTTCCTTTTATTTTTTTTTTCAAATTTTTATTTAAATTCTAATTAGTTAACATAGAGTGTAATACAGGCTTCAGGACCGTGTAAAGCCTTTATTGATTCTAGTTATATATACAACTGTTATTATAGTTGTGCTTTAGAAATTGAATGCTTAATGTGTAGCCATATCTAATATTGATATATGGAGATTGTCGAGGTTATAAATAGAATATCATCACAAATACTGGAAAGAGAGCCTGAACCTGGGAGAATTTTTGAGTAGCCTGTGAACTTTTGTCTCAATTAATAACAAGATGTTACCATTTACACTGCTGGCTACTACACGTGGGTACCATCTGAGTAAACTTAGTGGATACGGATTTGTGTTGATCCGTGTTCCCTCATCTCAGTTTTCTTATTTGTTTAGCCACACACCTGTCAACTCACTCAGGGCGCAGTCTGCACCGCAAACAAAACTAATTACACACGTGTAGATTAAGCTCATGACTTTGGCCTCATTATCACTCTGGGCTGATTATTAAAAATTAAAAACTTGTCTATTACCTGGCTATTGATCATATTATCTTTTTTATTAAAATTATTCCTAGGCAATAAAGTTTCCTTTGTGCTTTAGGTTTGTGGATTCCTGCTAATCCCTGAATGCTGAATGCTTATTACCATAATAAGTATTATATAAAGAAAGATTCCAAGTCACTTACTTTACTAAGTACTATTCTAAAGCATGTTTTAAAGACAGATGTGCATTTGTTAGGATACATTAAGGCAAGCAATGAAAATAGGTTTAATTTGAACCAACATCGGTCCATGTAAAACTATTTAGAGCAGAGTTGAATAAGTATCCTGTTTTTTATTTCCTTACCGTGAACAAAAACTTATTAATCATGATGGATCTGTTCAGGACAAATAAAGGGGGTATTTGTAACCATGCAGTGTAGACAAAAATTGAAAGCCTTAACTAAATAAAATTTTAAGAGTAAAAGTGTTCAGTTTAACCTACTTTATTGAACTGATTTTGTTGAGCCAGTACTTATTTATTGAACGTTTACTATGTGCCAGGCATTGTGTTAGGCAGTGTAATAAAGGAATAAAATCCTTCCTTCCTTCCCTCGAGGAACTTTTGATATATTGGAGAAGATAGGCGGGGCCACAGCTAGTGACCAGACGGCCCCTGAACTGACAGGATTAGTATTATCTGCTGTCTGCTGGCAAAGAAAAAGTTCAGAAACTGATGGGACTTCATGCCTAAGTGAGTTCTTTTCAGCCCACAAAATATAGGACACATTATATCATCACACTGTTGCATACACATTCTGGTGAGGCAAATGTATATTGTTTTCGAGGACGATGGGTTTAGTTTGCCTGTTAACTAAAAGAATAAAGTTGGTTTTAAAAACTTCTTAGGAGTACCCAAATTACATTATTTCCGATGATGCTTAATGAATTCATAGTTTTGGTCATACAAGGTTGCTTTGGCTTTAAGCTTTTGTAGATTGTATTATTCAAAGACTACAAGCTCCTTTCTTTGTTTGGACTCTGACTTTTTTTCTTTTAATAAACAGTCATGTTCGTTAGGGCCACAGAACCCTAGACTGCCTTTTAGAAACCATCCCAACTGGAGAGGTAACTTGTGAAAAGCCACACAGTGTGCAAGTTTAAGCATCCCGCATGGCCTTTCATTGTGTGCCCTTCCCTAGCCTCGAAGCCTTTGAGTTTTGTTTTGTGGGGCTGGGCTGTGGCTCTAAGACAGACGGTGGTTGGTAATCATGGACCACACTCATACACATTGTTTTCGAAGGTTCTCTCCTAGGTTTTGGAGTTGAATGTATTGATGTGTAAAGAAAGGATCAGAGATTACTGGCGGATGAGTCTCATTTCTGCCTCCAGAAAGTGTGTCATGGGGTGTGTGTGCATAGATAAGAACTATGGCTGTGTTTGTATCTTTATGTACACATAGAGCTCTGTAGCCTGCAGTTACATTACCTGTGTTTCTTTTAGCTCAATTCTCTCTCTTCTGCAGCTGCTACAGAGGTCAAATGAGACCTGCAGAACTTCAGAATAATATTATAGGAGATATCTCTAGTTCAAAATATTTCCTTGGTTTCCTGCCTAGCTTGGAAACATTGGCAGTTTTCAGTCACACACACACACTCAGCATTTTTAAATTGCATTTGGGGACTGGACAGAGGAGAACGTAACCTCCGTGACCACTCTGTTGTACTTGTTAAACTTACTCCCATTCTCACTTTTGAAATATATCTATAGTGTTAAGTCAGTGTGAGGGATTAGTAAGAGAATATGACTCATCTATTACTAATTGAATTTTGGCGAGTTTTCCCTAGATATTAATTAAATAGAGGCTATTTTGTATAGCCTCTTGAACAATTTTAAAATTGAGTACACACTGAACCCATAATGTTGTTTTGACTCAAAAACAGGTTGGTATCTTGAAGGACTCTTCAAAATATTAGATTTTTTCCTCGAGATCATAGATTTGTATTATTTTTATTGTTATTACCCACTTTCCAGGAAAACTCCAAATATTCAAGTACTAAAATTAGAAAGCTAATTTTTAAAACAATTGTCTTTATTTTCAAAGTATGACTTGTTTTTTGTACACTTAAGTTTTGTTACATGGTGAATTTCACCCAAGAGAAGCTAATGCCATCAGAATCGACACATAGGGTCACTGAAGTAGAATTGCTTTTGTCCAAATAGGTGGGTAGGTGCTGGTTAGCACTTCATGGGCCTGAGTGTTGATCTGAGTCTCTATGCGGCTGCTTTTCTCCTCTTTTGTCTCCATTCCTCTTTTCTCTCAGTGTGCTGTTCATATCACTCTCTTGGCTCCTGACATTTTATTTCCTTCAAATTACTTTCTTTTTACTGGCTGTGTACTATTCTAGAATCTTCCTATAGTTCATCTTGTATTTGTGTGCTTTCCCTCTGTGTTTCTCAAGAAGTTCCTTATACCATTAGAGTTAAAGGAAGTATCCAGAGACTGCGGCGTAAATCTCTGAAATAGGAATACATTTTTCCCTTTTTTAATTTTTTGAATGTTTGGATATTGTGATGAGAATGTATGAAATTTTGAAAATACTTTCATGTGTGTTTTGGTAAGGTTTTGACTCTTGCCAGAAAGAGAAATGTCAGAAAGAGGCATTTTGTTTTAAATGGAATGAAAAATCCAGTTGATCGTTCATAAAAAAGCTCAGGAATTCTAAGTTTGGCAAATTAATACCATCCCTGCCTCAAGTAGACTGGTAGGGAAATTGGTATTTTAAAATTCCACTGGCCAGCAAGCTTTATGATTGTCATATAATTGAATTACAGAATTTCTCATTACTGTCTAAAACCTCAGGTAATCTAGCATGAAGGTTAAAAGCACAGATTGTCTGGGTTCAGACACCTAGTTCCTCCTCTTCCTAGTTTTGTCACCTTTGGCAAGTAATTCTCTGTGCTTCAGTTTCCTCGTCTATAAGATGCAAATGGTAATAATACATACTTCATAGATGTTTCTGTATTAAATGAGTTAATAGGTATAAATCATATGGGACAGTGCCTGACCCATAGTAGATGTGATAAAAGTAATGGGTGTTATTGTTCTTTCTAATACGTAATCTCAGAAGGAACTTCAAAGGACAGGGGTACATGAAACCAACTTGCTTCGCATCCAAGATTATAAAATTAGAGTAGATTCTTAAGTATTTTTTTCATTCTGAAAATACATCGAACAGTAGTTTTTAGGTGACTTCGTTATTTAACAGGCAGAAAAACTAGAAAAGGGGAATTCTGTCTTAAACACAGTTAAATCTGTTGTACCTTTGGGACCCTAATTCATAATACAAGACTATGGAAAATAGTTTGCTCTCAACCAAAGAAATATATCCTGTCTTACTATCAGATTATAAAAACCACAACCATGTTTTTCAGAGTATATCTGCATATACAAGTTTAGAGTTTTGTATACTTGTATTGATTCCTTGAAATCACATCATGAAATTCGTTTCAAGATCATTCATCTTAAGTGCCCACTGTATTTAAGTATATTGGGTTTAAAAAGATGGGAGTAATAGATATACCCATCTTTTAAAAACAAGAAGAGATGATTGCCTCCTACTAGGTATTTTTGTTGTTAAAAACAGAAATCCTAATGTAGTTCTGGCTTCTAGGTTTGGTTTGGGCTTCTGAAACATAATATTGAAGTTTCTGAATTGATTATCCTTAAAAATAATAACTAGCGTTTGTAAAGATGAACTCACTTAACCCATCCTTTCTTTTGGTGGTTTTTTGTGATAGATATTATCATGCTCTCAGCCTCATTCTGCCCACTACAGAATGAAGGCCATACCTAGGTACTGCCAAGCTTTGAGTCTTGCTGTCCTGGGTCAAATGAGGTCCCATTGGTTCTCCAAAGGCTATCAGCTCATCCCTTCATCTGTATTGATGGCAGCCCTTGCTGTTTCTAGTATCCAGTGGTCCCATTATGTCGTAAGTGTAGTGCATCTTGCATCTCCTACATCATAGATTGCTTTTCCTGTTCTTCCATGTTTCTTATAACTACTCCTGCACCTTGACGCAGTCCCTCTCTTCATAGACATGTTCTCTTCTGGAGGCTCCTTCTCCTCTCACCCCCAAACAATTTGGGTCCCAAAGCAAGCCAGACTCAATTTAGGACTTTTCTATAATTTTGCAGTTTTTCAGTAGTTACATATATATACGTTTCACACTTTAAACCATCTCCTATAGGCTCTTCTGTCTTTGTTTCTATGACTGCATTTTAATACAACTATCCATTTTATAGCAACTGATGTTTTATAGGTGGTCAAGATTTAATGGCAAATAAAAATTCGCTGCTTTGAAATCCGGGCCTTAAAAACATAAGGTGTCGGGGTGCCTGGGTGGCTCAGTTGGTTAAGCGACTGCCTTCGGCTCGGGTCATGATCCTGGAGTCCCGGGATCGAGTTCCGCATCGGGCTCCCTGCTCAGCGGGGAGTCTGCTTCTCCCTCTCCCGCTCCCCCTCTTGTGCTGTCTCTCTCTCTCATTCTCTCACTCAAATAAATAAATAAAATCTTAAAAAATAAAAATAAATTAAAAAAACGTAAGGTGTTTTGCATAGGTTTGTCTAGAGCAGTCAATATTCTAAATTAAAGAAGTCCTCAGAGGGAAGTTGTCTCTTGTAATATTGAGCAACTTCAGGATTGTTTTGTTTTTTAAACTCAGTATTGCCCATAAAGACATTGTTATTGCTGCTACTTCAACAGAAGTGAAGGTAGTATATTTATTAGTCATTTGGTTTCTGTAGCGATTGTAGTATTCCGATTGTAGTATTCATCAGTGTATCAAAAATAGATTCTGAGGAGTACATCTGATCGCTCCATTCTTATATACATTTACATATATATGTAAATCTGTGAATATAAAAATATTTTTGCCTTTAGATTCTTATTTTGAAAAGAAGTTCTTTTAGAAAGTAGGATGGGATTAAGAAAAGTTTTACTTGATTGGCTTTGGTGTTTCTGTTGGGTTTCAAGGTCAGGTGCAGTTTGAGTCTATATGTCACTGAGAATTTTAGGGATATATAGCCAACTTGAAATATTGCATAACTTTCCAGTGTGGTATATGGACCCTCACAATCTACTGTACAGCTCCTGGGAAGGTGGGCGCCTGATTTAAGCCTTATACATTATCTTTGAGTAAATTTGGGGACTATAAATATTTATGAGTTTTAAATAAAATTTATACAAATATCATGTAAGAAATTTGAGGACTTCCCAACAAGAACTAAGAGAACTACTAACTATGGAAATAACTTCTATCCCCAAGTGACATATACTCAGTAAATAAAAAATTACTGTTGTATATTGCTTAATCCAAGTCTCTTGAGAGGTTTTTTTGTTTTTCTTTTTTCCTTTCCTTTCTTTTTAAGTTTTGTGCTATGTGGATTTAAGTGCTGGAAGAAAAAGAAACTTTAAGGTGCTTGTTTCCACCTTAATTATTGATGAGGAAATAAATATCCATTGTTACTGGACAGCCTACTAAATAATAACAGTGATAACAGTTATGAGGGTAATAACATCTAAAGTCCAGTGAGAATTTGGGATGTGCCATGCTGAGCATGTAATAGGAAGTACCTCTTTCAGTCTCCACAGCAGTGCACTCAAATGTTGGACTGGTATCCCCACTTTACAGATGTGGTGACTGAGAGATGGAGAAACTAACCTGCTCAGTGTCACCTGACTAGTAGGTGGCAAAGCCAAGATTCAACTTCACTGAGCTCTAGAACGAACTCTCTTCTACTTATGCTCTCTGGGGTGGTAATTAGTTTCTTTCATGCATGGCCTTTGGGTGACTTAACATTACCTTTCCATTCCCTGTAATAATGATTGGCCATTTATAAATACTTTTTACCAAGCTGTTGATCTTGTCTTAATCCAATAAATGGAAAAAAAAAATTGTTTTTTACTTTGGAGAAGGCATGGTTTTTCTTTACATATCTATTCTTACACTAAAGCCAAAATCTATTCCTAGAAAACCGTCTTTAAAAGCTGCCATAGGTTTCTCTCTGTTTCATTGTGTCATATGGTTAAATGTGAACTTGATTACACTTTTTTTATTTCTTCTGGAAATAGTTGTAGTGGTGTGGAAGGTAATCCTGATGAATCTAATTAGCCACATCACATTTCCTTGAAGTTGTGTGTGCACCACAGTTTTATCTAGCTGTTTTATGAATGAAAATTACTTAAATAAAAACATTTTGGTTTTCATCATTTTCCTTACAGAAATCACTGTGTGCATGAGAATAATCATGAGAATGGGTATTTCAAGTGCATCTGATTATCATGTAATCATGAAATTATAATGTAAAGTTTTAAGAATTTGTATATTTGGAATAATTACAGATTCAAGAAACATTGCAAAGATAATACAGAGAGTTTCCAGATGCCCTTCATTAAGCTATAATAAACTTTTCCTAATTCAGAATAGTTGGGGAAATCTTCAGTTTTAGCCACTATCAGTGTACCCTGCAAGGAATCAAAACATTCAGACCTATTTAAGGCATTCAAATGTAAAATGATATATATACTTAGCTAAATTGAGTGTGCTTTTCTGTTTTCCATAATCTATATTCTGGTACTTGACATTTCTTATGAATGAAGGGACTATCTTAATTACTTGAAATTTATCAGGGGTTGAATGATTGTTCTATTTATAAAAGTTAAAATGATTTTTTTCCTGCCCCCAAACCTCTAAATACATAGGCTTTCATTGAAAAATTCAATATGGAAGACGTGTAGTACATATTTTAACTATGGAAGACTGTACACTTTCAGTTTATTTTCTATCATATATAGAAAAATGTAAAAGGTGTCCTGTCATTTCCACAAACATGTTATTTTGGAGGTTAGCATTCCTACATCAACTTATTATGATCTGTTTTCTCAAACTTTTAAAATTTGACAAGGATAAGCACAGCATTTCATTTAAAGTGAAACGTCATTGGGTCTTTTAGAAAGCATGTACTAATCTTGTTTTAACTGAATATCTCTGAATCCATTCTCATGATTCTTTCCTCCTTCCACCCATGTCAAATCCTTACAATCCAATTTGTGTGAAAATGTTTAGTGTCCAGCGAGATTTTTAAGAAGTCATTGGGAGAACTGGTTAACCATGGAGTAAGGCTCACTATTTATTGAAAGGTGGTGGTATCAGAGCTATGTGAAAATTGTATTAGCCTAAGATTTGATTTTTTTAACTACCAATCTGACTCTTGAAAAGAGAACTACCAAATACAATTTATTTTCTTGAACAAAATAAACATGCTTGTAGAAATTCTCAGAGTGGCAGGGTTCTGGGAGCAGTGCTCCCAGACATCCTGTTGTATAATGAAATCACTGAAGTTGTTTAATTTTGAGCGTACAAGGCATTTAAGCCAATGACCTTCTGTTTTCCTTGAGCCCTGATGACTGGCCTTGCTATTTGTGTTTATTTTCTAGAGGTGAAATGCTCAGCCTTTTAGAATGATGTTTTTGTAGAGCAGCCAAGAGAATGGGAAGTTGCTTGCTTCTATTCTGTGTAATGACATAACGTGCTTATGGTGCTTTCTTCCTCTCCCCACCCGCTTTGCATCCTTTTCCTAGATGCGCATCGGGAATTCCTTCACAGGCCTGCTTCTGGATACGTGCCAGAGGAGATCTGGAAGAAAGCTGGTAAGAACTGTTGAAAAACACGAGTCTAGTGTTGTGCCAGCTGTGTTCATGCAGCGATGGGAGGAGCGACAAGGAGGGCCTTTCCTGCTAACGACAGCAAAAACAGAACAGTCCCCCCGCCACAAGCCAAAAATTTAAAATCCTAATTAATATCCTTCCACCGGACCTGATTAGAACACGGAATAGTTTTCATTCGAGGAACATCTGCTAATGCCACGTAATTGACCGTCGGACAGTGTTTCTGTTGTAAACCCCTGTTTTTCAGGTGCTCTCATGGTTTCGGGCTAAAAGCTTGCGTAAGAGGTCTCAGCTTGCATGCGCTTTACTCTTAATGAAAAACTAATGTTTTAGGGGCACTTGGGTGGCTCAGTCGTTAGGCGTCTGCCTTCGGCTCAGGTCATGATCCCGGGGTCCTGGGATCGAGCCCCGCATCGGGCTCCCTGCTCAGTGGGGAGTCTGCTTCTCCCTCTCTCACTCCCCCTGCTTGTGTTCCCTCTCTCACTGCGTCTCTCTGTCAAATAAATAAAATCTTAAAAAAAAAACAACAAAACTCTTAAAAAAAGAAAAAACTAATGTTTTAGAAATTAAATTGCGTACGTCAGTCCTTTCTCCTGATTTTTAAAAGTGGAGATAGAATTGGCACGTCTCCAAAATTCTTTAAAAAATCCTAACAAAACTAGTTTTGTTGAGGTACTCCCAGACTTATGACTACAACCAATATTTAAAATTGATCTTCTGGGCTAATTAATATTCAGTGACCAGAACTAAATTGTTTCCTAAATTAAATGACAAAGTTGCTAAACTTCTATATTTTCCTCCTGTGTACACGATCAGATTTTTATTAAGAGATACTGGTCTCCATTTTGGGGCTGATTTAAAGTTCCCAGTGACACACTGACTGCGGAAGGTTTGGATCTGGCAGAATCTTGGGGGAACACCAACACTTAGAAAAGTTGAGCCAAAACCTTGCAAAAACTGACTCAGGAGAGAAGCATAAAACCTGTTTCAAGAGTTAAAGATGATGTGCCAGACACATACTGTGGCTTTGAGCTGCTCTAAACTCCAGCTATTAAAATAGTTTGACTGGAGAAACTGGAAAATGCTATTTCTGCAAAGGGTCAGATGGGTGTAGGGCTGGGATCCCTAATCAAGGGGAAATAGTGAAGGAAAGGGTCTCTTGGGGTTGTGATTTGATCCACCTCTGTCCGTAGTTCTTTGCAACTTGGCTGATGCTCTGATCATTTGGCTCTTACCCAAGTGTTTTTAAGGATTTTCTAAGAAATACCTGTTTTGGGGGCGCCTGGATGGCACAGTTGGTTAAGCAACTAACTGCCTTCGGCTCAGGTCATGATCCTGGAGTCCCTGGATCGAGTCCCGCATCGGGCTCCCTGCTCGGCGGGGAGTCTGCTTCTCCCTCTGACCCTCCCCCCTCTCATGTACTCTCTCTCATTCTCTCTCTCTCACATAAGTAAATAAAATCTTTAAAAAAAAAAAATACCTGTTTTTGTAAGAGTGATAAGGAGTTTCAAAATCTGATAGTATGCTAGACCTGGTAGCTTACATTGAGAACCAGAAGGCTCTCTTGCATGTCCAATATGCAAATCAGGTAGATATTCAGCTTAAAGGTTATATATGTTGCTAAGCTGCATAGTCTTGCCAGATTTACAGCATCACCTCTAAGATTTCTTCCTGGGTCATGGGGTACTCCCAAGCTGTTAAAATGTGCCGCATGTCACCTAGCTGGAAAAAGAATTGCTACATCTTCTTTCTGACCACTATTTCTTCCCCATTCTTAAGCTGTCAGTGCAACTTATTCCAATAAGAGACACAAAGAATTGCCATTTTGGACAGCAGAAGGATGACATTTTATGTTGAGGGAGAGTCTTTCTCTGCATTTCCTTTATTTATGTGTATTTAAGTTAAATCCTTGATAGTTCATAAAGAAAAATTGACAGGAAAGCCTTGTGTAATCCAAATTCTTTTTCTGTGCTATTATCTGCTCAAGTCTTTGTTTGACTGCTATTATGCGAGAGCAGATTTTTCTGAATATACCACCTTTGTTGGAAAGTCAACTTGAATAGCTCTGCACAAAGGAAGTCCTACCATAAGTGGTAAGCAATTGGAAGCAGATTCAAAACTGCACTATATATTTGCCACTTAATCAGGTTCTTTAAAAATTTGACATGTTGTAATCTATTGAGTCCACTCTTATTTTTCTTCACTGTTTTGTGGGTTTCGGAAACTAATTCTGGGTATACTTGACATCGTGGGGGCTGCACAAGTAGAGAAAGAACAATCCTTGCTTCTGTTATGTCCATGGACTCTCTAAGAAGCGTTAAACCTTATTAAACGAATGCCCAGAACATTTTTTAGATGTGCCTATATTCTATCTTAGGGCTTCAATCTAAAATAGGACTTGGAAGTGGGGTCGATTACATGTGTGTATTGTGTTATTCTCACACCAGTATCCCTAATCTGCACAAAAACAGTTTGGGGATAGTGTTCTATGGATAGATGCTAATATTAAGGAGTATATTAAATCCCCAAAGTACAGGCGACAGTTTCATCTGGAAATCTTGAATAACTGCTTATAATACTTATCTTTATAGGCGTCTTAAAAAGCATTTCTAGTGTTCACAGTGTCAAGGCATCCAGCATGATGAAAACACTGAGGTCAAAATGTGACATCTGCACTCAGCTTGTTACAATTTGAAAGCTTTTTTCCCCAAGATTCTAAAATTTGCTGTGGGCAAAATTTTTTTTGGAAGAAAACCTGTAAAGTATGTCTTTGCAATCAAAGTATTATACATTACCTTTGTGGCAAAAGATAAGTAAATAAAAGAAAGTTTAAAGCATTTGAAAAATATCAAAGGGGTAGAGCTCTCAAAATTCAATGTAGTATAACCAGGGTATCCTTTTACACAGGAAATATAATTGCAGAAAGTATGTTCTGTGCATGAAAGTGTATCATACAATATTTAGCACCATTTTATTTTGAAATGATATCAGACTAGCAGAAAAGTTGCAAAAAATGGTATTAAAAAATTGCCTTATCTTTTTACCCAGTTTTCCCTGTTTTACTGTATTTGGTTTAATATCTTTCTTTTCCTCTCTCCTTCCCTCCCTTTCTTTCTCTGTTATGCATGTTTTCCCCCAACCATTTGAGAGTAAGTTGCAGATCTGATGCCCTTTTACCCTAAACATTTTAGTGTGTATTTCCTAAGAACAAGGACATTCTCTTATGTAACTATAGTACAATTACCAAAATCAGGACGTTAATAGTATGTAACTCACAAACCCCATTCAAATTCTGCATGTTACCCCAGTAAGAGTATAACAATGTAATAGTGTAACAATACACATTTTTAAATATTTTGGGTCCTCGGGTGCCTGGGTGGCTCAGTCGTTAAGCGTCTGCCTTCGGCTCAGGTCATGATCCCAGAGTCCTGGGATCGAGTCCCGCATCGGGCTTCCTGCTCCATGGAAAATCTGCTTCCCCCTCTCCCACTCCCCCTGCTTATGTTCCTGCTCTCTCTGTGTCTTTCTCTGTCAAATAAATAAATAAAATCTTTAAAAATAAAAAAATATTTTGGGTCCTAACAAATGTTGAAGGCCACATCCGTTTTCCCCTATAATTACTATTTTTAAAAGCAACAGCAAAAATAACAGAACACACCGTAAAGGTATGAAAAGTCTTCATAAAATTGAGGGAAAAATCTAACGTAAAGATGGTTTTCAAATCACAACCGAGTGTTTTCTTCAGTATATTTCTTTTTCAAACAATCAGTGAATGTTTGCAGTTGGTAATAAATATTCAAGCACCTTGCAAATGTCCTACCAACTCTCTTTGCTGATCTGTATATGCCTGTGGGATTAGAATAGGAATGCATAATTTAAATATAAATTGCCTGATTTGCATACACAATTAGTCAAGCTACAGCTTTGATCGTAAGCAAAAATTATTGTCCTGTATTACCACTTAGATAGAATTTTAATTCACCTTGAATATTCAAACTAAATTAGACCCTGGCTGTCTAGTTAGAAGGGCAGTACTTCCCTGGTGCCCCCGGTCGTTTATGATAGGGTAATAAAGGCATCTTTTCACCTCCTGGTGAAGAAAGAGCTGCAAGCTCTGTGCAGTACTCTTTCTATCCAGATTTTAAATGGCATATCTTAGAGCAACCAACAAAGGCTTAACATATTTTAGTTAATATTTCCAGTCTGGATCTTTCCCTTATATTTTAGTTTATAAAACCTAGGAGACAGTAATTACAGACGAAAGAACTTCAGAAATAATGTGGCTGGCGTGACAGAGGCTAAAAAAGTCATGCCAGCTAATTACTAGTGGAGGGCTTTTGATGATCCTCAAGGCCTGGGCTATAGATGTGTGAAATAAACCATAGACATTTAAGAAACCATAGGAATATTTGCATCTCTTACATTTTTAATCTACAGTAAAACATTTTTTTTATTAGGAATCTATGTTTTTAATTAAACAGAACATTTAATTAAGGTGCTTTTTAAGTGGGTGAAACAATTAAGTGCAAACACTTGAATGAAACATGTCATAATTAGTTTTAATAGAGTGTTAATTGGTACTAGGTTTGCCAAGTTAATAATTACTGCTTATTAAATTTTCAATTAATCATTGTCATTTTGCTTTGAATAAAGATGAAAATTAGATAAACTAATTTAGGGGGAGGATATTTTCCCTTGTTAATTAGAACAGTTAATTTTTTTAAATGGAAATTACTTGTTTTAGTTGTCAATCTCATATTGTACATTAGTCAAATCTTTGCACCCTTTCCACAGCCAAAAATAAAGAGCTAATTTGACACCTTGCAGGTTTGTAGGCAGGCCTGATTGTTTTGGCCTCTGGTATGATTCAATTACGTTTGTCTAGTGCAACAGTTGGTTATGCGAAGCTGTATATATATTTGATTGAGTAGATGGGCAACAGCTTAAAACTGGGAAATGAGAAAATGATTTTTTAAAGAATCCTATCATTTAGCCTGAAAGGGCGTAAATCCACATGACTCAGGAAATGACTTAGGAAAAAGAAAAGCCAGATCATCTGTTTCATCCTGGATTTTCTTTCCAAGGTCTACGTCGACATAATTGCCATACGAATTACCTTTTACTATTGTGCTGTATGTTTCACCAGCAAAATAATTGTTAGCACTTAGGTATGGATATGTGTAAAATCCATCCCCTTTCTCTTCTCTTCTGAACGCTTTTTAACATGCACTCCCTATGTGCATATTAAACCTATGGCCTTGTGGCAAACCACCTTAATGTGTCTAAATTATCCAGGCAGGTTTCTGATGGTGACTTTTGTCCTTTAGCTACTTAAGTCTGGTCTCCTAATCATTTCTGGAGGTACTAGTTTGGTAGAAAAGTTGTAGTGATGCTATAGTAGCATAAAAATTATTCCCAGACATGCAAGTTAAAGGGAAAAAAAAAAAAGATCTCACCCTTTGTTTTCCAAAATGAATTTCAGAAAGCTGCTGGCTATTTAGACAGCCAGGAGAACTGCCCAATAATTGGGATGGGAGTCACGCCCGTTCTATAGAATTGTGTTTAACAGCGATCAGTATCCAGGGTCCTGCGCTAACAGGGAAATGTTCTCTTGTCCGGTGCGGCCTGCCTGGCACGCAGAGGAGGCGGTCAACGAGGTGAAGCGCCAGGCGATGACCGAGCTGCAGAAGGCCGTGTCGGAGGCCGAGCGGAAAGCCCATGACATGATCACAACTGAACGCGCCAAGATGGAGCGCACGGTGGCGGAGGCCAAGCGGCAGGCGGCGGAGGACGCGCTGGCCGTCATCAATCAGCAGGAGGATTCGAGCGAGGTGAGGGGCTGGCAGGGGCTTCCAAGGCAAGCAGATCATTTCCACTAATGCGAGTGCTCGGGTTTGAGTCCAGGAGGTCACAAATAAAAGCGGGTATTGGATTTTAGACAAACTGATCTTTAGCAGGATGGGGATCAGAATAATTTGGGGGGAGTTCTAGCACTTGTGGAATCCATCAAGAGCTTGAGCAAATATTGTCTTTATTAAAGACCTATAAGGACAACTCTGCCAAGAAAGGTTTTTAATGTCTTTGGTGGGAAGTGCTCACAACTTCCTAGCACTGTTGAGAGGCTTCGGACTCAGCTGTGTCACATGTGTCTGTCAGCATGTGTGTGTGGTTTCCTTCTAATAGAAGGGGTTCGGTAGAGATGCCCTGTGCAGACATGCTCTCCAAAGAGGTACTGCGGGGCCGGCATCGCAGCCCGTCCCTTCACTATTGGTCCTAAATTCCATTGCGAAGACGGCCTCTGCATCAGCTCAACCTTTCTAAGCGATCCTCTGCACAGTCTCTTTTTTCCACATGATTTGTAATAACCACGATGTTGTCCATCACCTCACCACCAGAGGTGGTATTGTTTGAGTGTATTAAAATACACGCACGTAGCCCAGATGGCTCAAGGATCTGGGAAGTAACTAAAACACGGTACTTAACAGAATGCTTTTTAAAATAGAGCCTGCAAAGTCAGAACAACATGGTAATGTTTCGCATTAATTAATGCGGCCTCACAATCATCCCCCACCCTACAGTAACTCAGATAAAGGACCGTAGTTAGCTAGTCTCACCAAGCTGAACTAGCAAGAGCGTCAACTGATAAATCAATGGTCTACTACAATACATATCTATAATTTGTGAGGGAGAGTAAGAATTTAATTTGTACCAGGCTTCTCTGTAGATGAAAGACCCTGCGGGAATCACTCAATGCCCAGAGTTTCTATTTAATGTGTAGCAGATGAATAACAAGGGGACAAAAGGAATTGATTTTCAACATTTGAAAGTTTCTCAGGAAAAGAGGGACAAAGGGAAGTTTACTCTTTAACTGCTGACTTTTCCATTGTCGAATTAAGCTAGACATAAATTCAATTTTATTGGCATCTTGTGGCTAAGATATTTAAGGACCTTATTTTCTGTTTTGTTTTTTTTAAATTTCGGACAACATCCTTTGGAGAGAATTTGTCCTGCTCCATTTAAGTTAGTAACACCATGAAGCACAGTAGTTGCCTTCACTGAAACATTATCACTTACACAACACTTTAGGGCTGTTATGTATAGTAAGAGTATTCTGTAGGCCACTAAATTCTAAAGATGGATGTTTAGGAAGAAATTGAGAACTAAGTCTTTGTATTTGGGAAATATTTGGGAATTTTTGTATTTGTATTTGGGAAATCTGTATTCCTTCAGTGGCTAAAAGCTTTGTACCTTTATTCCTGACATCTATCCAGAAAAATACATGATCTTGACATTAGTATTTAACATTTATAGAAATAAGGGTCTTTATGGTCATTTTTGGATGCAGATCATCTAAAAGGCAACTTAAGCCTGATTTCTTACTTTTCTTCTCTTTAAACTGGAGTACCTCTTTAAAGACTTAGAGTCAGGGTGGGGGGCTTGATCCCTCCAATAATTGAGTTTCTTTTCTTCAAAAGCAATGTAAACATTTTCCTGAGAATAGGAGAGCAAAAGGTGGAAGAGAGATTTCATTGGAACGAAGCTGAGACTCCTCTAGACTTGGACAAAAGTCTGTACACACACATACTATAAAAGTGGTTTGACCAAGGACTTGACAGAAGTGAATCCCCTAGCCCTAAATTAATGTTGCTACTTCTTCTGAGGAATGACAGGGTCTGGGAATAGTCTGAGTGCCTGGTGGAGTAAGGTTAGTCAGCTCAATCTTTTGCCCAAATTTATAGGTAAATACTTTTTTTATTTTCCCCCTTAGGGATTCTTTACTTTTAATTTATGAGTGAGAGCAAAACTTTGACTCCAACACATTATTTTTCTTCAGTCTGCTCTTTCCTCATACTGAGGAATATACGCCTTTTCATAGAAATGACCTGATAAAAGTGACCTGATAAAAGCAGTGATGCTTGCAAGTCACCTCAAGTCTATAAAGCTCCGTGGGCCCCTCCAGGACAGAACCAAAACTTTGGCTCTCTTCGGCTAGGATATAACTCCCTATTCCAGCCTTCACCATGGTTGGCCCCAGGGTGGGCATCTCTTAGGCCAAGACTGCTTGGCCCAGCTGATGTGCAGAGAAGAGAGTTCAGGTACTTCTCAGAACTCTCTTCTGTTTCAGGGGGTTTTCTTGAATTTTAGCTACTCAACCCCAAATAAGACCCATCTAGTATTGTACTGTAGAAATTTGATAAATTGTTCTTTGTTTTCTTAGAAAAATACGTAGGAGGTCTGGCTGCCATAGTAATTGGTTAAAAAAAAAAAATCCCATTAAATATAGCAACCATTGATTTAAAAACTGTACTAAGAAATTAATGGGCATTCCTTTAAAAAAAAAAAAAAAGTCGTGTTTGTGACCTGCCCAGGGCAGTCTGTGATTCAATACGTAGAACTCTAAATTACTCCTCTCCATGTATTCATGTATTCTTTCAATAACAAAGTTTTGAGCTTTTATTCTCTGCCGGGGAGGATGATACCTCTGCTTTCAGGTAGAGTACAGTTCATTAGAGGAGGCAAATCACTAAATTATAAGAGTCTTAACAGGTTTAGTGTGAAAGCTTCCGGAACTTGGGTTTCATTTTGTGTGGTACTGAAGGGTAATCAGGAACTGGTCAGCAGCTGCTCCCCTCTCCCTCCACCCCCATTGCTTCATCACTGTTTCCTTGGGCAGGGGGCACGGCAGCGCCTCTGTGCAGGTGGAAGAGAAAAGGTGGAAAAGGAAGCCGTGCCAGGCTTTGAGAACAGGAGGGCTCTGGGGCTGGTGAGTGTTTGGGAAGGCTCACTCAGGCTGCAGTGTGGAGAGAAACTAGAGGAAACGAAAAGGAGGAACCAATCTGTTTCAGGAGACAGATGGAGATGAAGATGCTTGATGGTGGCACTGGGGGTGGAGGAAATTGTATCTGTTGGCTGGGAACCCATGAGATAAAACGGGCAGCACTTCTTGATGGGTTGGCTGTTAAGGAAGAAAGAAGAGGGCGTCCAGAAGAGGGGTTTGGGATATACACGTCAGGTGATCTTACTTGAACAATCTTCAGAAACTCAACTGGCTTTGATCTGCCCGGGGTATATGTTTTTCCTTTTGGGGGAGAGGGTTGGTAGAAGAGGTAACCTTCATTTTTTTGTGTGTGCATAAACAACACAAGTTAAAACATTTTAAGAAACTCAAATCAATGACTGAATCCAGCTAGACAGATCGCCTCTGTGAATTGGAAAGCGTAAATAGCACAAAGTCTTAAATAGCTTGTGCTGTTCAATGTCAAAATCAGGAGAGTAGTATATAAAGGCGGAGTACAGGGTGACCATACCTCCCAGTTTGAGTGACACAGTCCTGGTTTACCCCTGTTGTCCCATGTAATTACCAAATGGTCCCTTTTATTCTCAAGTATTCTGGTTTGTATAATGAATTATATGGCCACACCACTTAAAGGCCATGCTCAGGCGATTTGATGGTCATCTTTTGCTAGCAAAGCTCCAGAGCAGGTGCATGGGGGCAAAAGAATCCAAGAGGAGGACCTGAATCCTGGCTCCAGCTCAGTTACTGTTTCAAGCACCCGGGGGCAAATCATTTCACTGCTGTGAGTCTTTATGTCTTCTTAAGGAATGAGATCTTTTTTGCTACCGTACTCGCAGGAGTGTTTAGAAGTTTTTTGTCTGTTTTTGTTTTTTATTGAAGAATAGTTGACACACAGTGTTTTGAGGATTTTTTTTATTCTCGCATTTTAATTCAAAGTGTTTTGAGAGCTGTAAATGCAAGGCATCATTATCTGCTCATATTTCCCACAGTCCTGCATCACAAAATACACTAAGCTTTTCTGACTAAAACAAGTCTTTTTCTCCCTTCTCTCCCTTAGTTTGAATCCATCTGCTATTATAGACATGTACCCATCTCTTACTTAGATCATACATGATCTAATCTGAAACTACAAAAATGCGTATGTAGATAATATAAATGCACAAAATAATTATTCTCCCCTTCATAGGGACTTCAAGAAGGAATCTGAGCTTCAGCATCAGAAGACCAGCTCTCTAGACTGAGTTTCTTCTGAGCTGTTTGTGTTAAGGGCTGATGCTCATGAATACCTCATTCTATGATTTCTGAGTTTAGCCTTCCTCTTTCTACCTGTTTTCACACATGTACAATGGACCTACTAATGCCCATTCTGCTTAGGAAAACCAGTGCTTCTGAAAAGTAGGCAGTAAAGAATGGAAAAATTCCAGAAGGAGGAGACAGGAGTTGAAAATCTTGAACTGCGGAGAAGAGCAGTAAGAAGGTGTAGAGTCCGGAATGACTAGGCACAAGTATTACTTGCCCCAGAGGTGGGTTGGGGGAGTTGGTTATCATCTATGCTGGGGCTCTTCTCAGAGGAAAAGGGGATGCTCATGCCAGGACAGGCCAGTCCTGTACACCAGGCTGTCCCTGGCATGCAGAAATCCTCACTCAGCATAGTTGGTGGGGGTGGCAGGAAGTTTGTCTGGCCTGAGGTGAAACTGGCAGACCTGCGGTGAATGTTTAACTCTACCAGGCATAGTAGAAAACTGCTTCTCGTATTCTCTGTGCTGTAGCACATTTACTCTTCCTGTGAGTCCAGGTAGTGTAGACGGTGCTCTTGACCTCATTTTGCAGCCGAGGAAAGCTGAGTCTTGGGAGGTTCGGCCTCTGCTCAGGGTCTCAGCAGTAAGTGTGAGCTGGCCCTCAACCCAGACGGGCTGCCTTCTTAACAGCCACATGGCAATAGAGGAATTTTTTTTTCCTGATTGTATATTAGTGTATCTATTTCTTCATTGGACTTCCTTCAGATTATTCCTACCTAGTTCTCTAACTTTACTT